TAGTTATTTTGATAAGATCGGATTCATAAATCCTTTTCTATCTTGAATTATGCTTTCCTAGTGGATTCAGCATGTGGCTAGGGGAAATAGCTCGGAAAGGGTTTTTATTGTTGCTAAATAGCTTTTATTGTAGCTTCCAAATGGTTCTCAATGCGTTCGTCATACAACCTTTTGCAGTTAATCAATCTTGAAGAGCTTCGAGAATACACCCTACAGAACTTTCTCCAGGGTGGGCCAACTAGACATATTCTAATCTTAATGAGGTTTTGGTGGATGCATTAATTACAAAATAGCCTTGACCAGGGTTTTATGAATATTGTTTTATAGTTGCTTTGTAGTATTTAATAAAACTTAAAATGTTACTTGGGATGGTTTGGTAAGCGATATGTGAGTGTGGCAAGTTGTCAAAGCCATTTGTGACGAAGGAGACGATGAACACTGAAATTTACGTTCGGGAGTGATTGAATCGGCGTCTGCGGCCCATGATCCGTCAACATGATGGCCCAGTACTATTTTGGCCCGATTTGGTGGAAATACATACAATAAAAAGCAAACAAACAGCAGTACGTGCCAGAAGAGATGAATCCTCCGAAATGTCCGGAAGTCCGGTCAATCGAAACTGTTTTGAGCCCTTTCCAAGAGATATCTACGGAAACACTTTAAGGCAGCGAATTAAATCGAAGAATTTGAAAAAAAAAACTGGACAAAAGTGGCCAAAGCTCATGGGCAGTATCAGATCAATAGTTTGCTCCTTGGCACACGATTAAAGGAACTTCGGATTATTTTCATCCAATTGAAAAAGAATACTATAGGGATATAAACCTTTGAGTTCATTAACAATGCGTTGTTACTGTGCTGATACTTTCTGGAACACCCCATAATTGATAAATAGCTATAATCATTCATCATTCCAATGTAAAATAAAAAAAAATAAAATGAAAGCATAACATTTTAAACTGAAACGTTTTGAATATACGGAGGTTTGTTGGACCAAATTCAAACGAAAACTAAGTTTGGACAATTCAAGTTAGTTTTCATGATTGGTTTAATTCAATCAAGTTGATCAATAGCCAAAAAATGATGCGCGTGGTCCAACTTATGGGACGTTCTACATTCAAATGATTTTTCATAACAGTCGGAGTCGGAGTCTATACTCAGCTCCAACTCCGACTCCTTATGCTCAAAAATGCGTCCGACTACGATTTCGACTCCACAAGTATCAAGTAGCGTGACCAACAGGTAAATACAAAAATAGGAACCTCTCTAATTGGTTAACATTAGAAAACGAATAAACAGAATCCGAAATACATTCTTATGGAGAATACCCGAGTACACTAAAAAAATCTAATTATTTTATTAATTAAACCAATTTAATTATTTTTATAGCTAAATGGCATATAAACATCATGAAAAACACCATAGTACTTATGAACCACACCAGTATTTGATTACCCAATAAAAGGGATATGTCAACCTTCATGGCTAAAGGTTGCTTATCTTCTCGTTTTCAGTCGAAACACATTTTCATATAAAAATGTGTTTCGATTGAAAACGGAAATGGATACGATAGTAAAAGGAATCCAATTCCAATACTATAATTAATAATCAATATTAATACTATTTGTGAGACTCATAATATTAATATTCTTTATAATATAATATTAATGAATCGATTCAAAGAGAAATATTTGGCGTCTAATAAAGAGTATGTTTGATTGTACATGAAATGTATAGGTCTATGTTATGAAATTATTTTTACATGACTTATACACTTCATATATATTACTTTTGAGCTTTATGGGAATATAGCCATTGCAAAAATCTATGTGGTTTGATTAATACATTCAATATGATTTTTTTTTTCATGTAGACGAGAAAATAAAATCAATTCTTCACTGCACACAGCACATCAAGAAAAAAGAAGGAAGCAGGCTGTGCCCGTGAACAAATGTCACGTTCGTTTTTTCCGCTATAATTTTTTTCTCGATAATTGGCTGCTGATTTGGTAAAAAGACATTACAAGCATAACTTTTCAAAAGGACGTAAGTCGCAAAAATAGACAAATCGATATTTTGCATCTAATCGAATATAAAATACATGCTTTTCCTACGAGTTAATGAAAAACAAGGTTTGAAATTGTAATGCATTATGGAAAATATATTTAATGAACGCCCTATGTGACCTTCTTTCAATGTTTTTAAAATGATGTTGATACACCCTTTTATTGTCAACATGACATAACTGTTAAAATTTGATGATAACACAAAAACTGCAGATACGCGCACAGTGAAGCGTCGTATGTGAAAAAACAAAGCAACCTCTATCAATCAGCAAATGCGTCAAGTTTGTATTTCCGGGAGCAACATGTTTATTATTTCAAAAGTATTCCAATAAAATTGCACTTTAATCTTGACTTTAATATTGAACTTCACATACCAATCTGACTAGCGCTTTCTTAATACGAAATACACAAAACGTATAACATCTGAGAGCAGATAATGCGGTGAACCTCTCATCTCCGCTCTTAACATCGATTATTTCACAACTCTGGGTAGTTATGTAAATAAACCAACCAACCGACAATTCCTCAATTCTTTTCGAGCTGCCGACGTATCTTCACTGCAAAACAAAAACCGGTGTATCTGATTTGACGTATGTGAAAACCCTTCTGTCAAATAGACGAATCATGCAGGGTGTATGTAACAATCAAGGTGTGATACCGACGAATCAATCAGGGTGTATGTGAGTAGTACACAAGTAAAAGGTGTATGATTTTGTTTTATCAAAAGGCTTGTCCGTGTTTGCAAAGCTCGACATTTTTCACAATTCTCTTAAACGCTATCCCTTTATCCAACTAATAGCACAAACAGATTTAAAAAAAATAGCATTAACTTTTAAATAGCATTTAATAATCTCATATAGACATTGCTATCCAATTTTTCTAATTTCCTTTCCAATGTTACATACGTCCTTTTGAAAAGTTATGCTTGAATTAGTGAAAAATCCGTTAGGACCGAATTTCCAACAAATGCTGGAACCACAACAGTAAATCAAGCACTTAGTGAGTTCAAATTTAAATTTGGAGCAACTGCCTCGTTTGGCACGATCACATCAATGAGGAAGGAGAAAGTCATGCAAACAAGCTCTACCAGAGGCCGGACCATTTTATATTCATTCCCGTCATGCAATTGGGATCACTTACGCCCCCATGGCTATTTGGATCAAAGAAATGGTACTGAATTTGGGAAATGCATTTTGATCCAGCTAATTATCTATAATATTTAATTATCTTAAAGATAAATCGTCCAGCTCAAACCTTTGTAGGGGTAAGAGGTGGGACCATCATCATCATCAGCTTAGGAAACACGAGAAGGCTGGCTAATACAATTCATTTGTTTTTATTTGTTTGCATTATATTTAAATCAGTATTTATAAAAACTTCACCAAATGAGGTTTTAGAATTTAAATTAAGGAGCTCGGCTAGCTTAGTGGTTGTCGCCTTTGCTTACTGAGTAGAAGATCATGGGTTTACTCCCAAACTACTCCAAAACAAAACAATTACTATGGTCGCATCGGCTGCTTAAGCTAATCCTGACCTACCTATCCTACCCAACTATCCAACTCCGTATCATGTATGGGGGCGTTGGTGAGTAACTGGCCTCCCGTTAAGTAGATGTTACATCAACATGTCCTTACCCCGGTACGGAGAAGATGGGCGTGGCTGGCAATGGTAATTGTTATGCTTTTCCTGTTCTGAACTTTGATTGGAGAGCTATTCATTCCCAAATCAGAATACGAACGTTAAAGTAGATACATGACAGTTGCCAGTATGCAATATACGAACTACTCTGTTACAAACGCAACGCAACGTAGCCTTGCTATTAGTTTGATTGATTTAAGAGGTAAAATATATTTAAAAAATGAAACCATTAGCAAATAATCAGCAATGAATAGCGAAGCCAGTAGTAGCCATTTCTAAAGAATAGCAAAAATCAGATCAATAATGTAATATTGCTATTTATCTGAAGAAGTTATTGGCAAATTTATTTTGCTGATTATTCATAAAATGTTTAAGTCGACTAATAAGCCGACGCCTTACAAAAAAGTTAATGCAGATCATGTGTCAAATGAAATGTATAAATGACCACACATACCGTTTATACATATTTATAGGACCTATGTGGTTTATCTTAAGGAATGTATATGGCTGATGTTTTGACAAAAAGGTATAAGTGAAATACATGAATAAAGTAATTAATTTTCGATTAGTGTATGTTGTTTACATTAATCATATTGAATGACATTGAACCAGATCATAATTAGCTCTTGAATTCATGATACCAAATTATCATAACAATAGAAAATTAGCCTTGATAGCACAATATGCTATTTACTTGCTATAGCGCACAACTTACCAATATCATATTATATGGTACATATTGATAGTAAAATTTGATATTTCAGTAATGACCCGATTTTGTCAGCCCCTCCGAGCATCAGACTTATATCTTTCAATAATTTCACATAACCGTAATTCCAAATCTATCTCATTCATCTTCAAGATGGTTGTTTAAGGTATACTGTGGTGCAAATAGACCATTGAGAAAGCGCACGTAGAACATTAGAAAAGATGTTCAAAATGGGGGCTGGCAAAATCGGGTCATTACTGTGTTTAGCTTTGGTTTTGATGTTGCTGGTCACGAGTTAAATTAGACTGATTTAAGGGAATTAGACTGATTTAAGGGGGAGGGTTGCCGAAATGGCACCGCACCTTACTCATTAGCTTAGCCACTAAATAGTTAAATTTGAATTTCCTAAATTCCCTAGATAACCACCCTAGTCCTCTTACTCTCATAAATGATATAAACGCAAAAAAAAACAAAACAACAGTACAAACTCGTGACAAGAAGTATGAATTCACACTCGAATGAATAACGAACCAACAACACAGGTGGTAAACAAAATCGAAAGGAAAAACACACATGAGCTAAGTGACTTACGTTTGCAATAATATGCATCAAAGCTGGCGTTCTCTCACTGCCCCCGTAGTCGTCTGGTGAGCCAATTTTCGCCCAGCTTGAAAATGTAAATACACTCTCCTCTTTCTTCTATGCTGCTACTGCTCGAAACGTCTTCCTTGGAGATGATTGCGGTGATGGCCCTACAGTATAACGGTTGGTGGGGGGAAGGGAAGAGCAAAAAAAAAAAGCTGTCACCTATGGGCAACTTTCGAAGCAGGCCATAAATGTCTAGGTAGGTAGGTAGGTACTACACACGTTCAATGCACTTCCCGCAGCGTGGCTTCACAACATTCACTGACTGCTGTCGATTTGATCACAATCTAGACGCGGTGTGTGGTAATAGAAAACATAGATTTGATTATCGGGGTAATGAAGGAGGGAAAATCGCTAGATTGACAGGTCACGAGCTTCTTCTTCCTGGGAAAGGGAGAAAATTCCCCGTTCGAAATTAGCTCACGATTTGCACACTTTTTCTCACACAACTTCCTGGAAATATAATTGAATTTCTTTCACTTCCTCAAACAGAGTCCGTTAATTGGCACATTCACTTAACACACGACAGTCTGTATGGCGCAAAGTGAGCGTTCGTTTTCTGGCAGTATGCGACTAGATTTTGGTATCACTTCTGTGCAACAATCGAACCAAAACAGGCTCATAACAAGGATCATAAAATGTTGTCAACTTGTTTGGGGGAAACCACTTGGAAAATACAAGAGGAAATTTCACATGTCAGCGAGCAACGCCAACAGCAGCACATTCGATACCACACTTGCACACACATAAGCCATTATGCATCACGTAGCAATCGCATCTTCATCGTCGATTTTTTTTCTGTCTACACAATTCAGTGCCGCAATCAAAAGTGTACAATCGCGGTTCGAGGGAATCACTTGCTGTTTTGCTTTTGGAACGAATTGGCCAACCTCTACCTCGTACGGATCGTAAGTATCAGAGTCGATGTAAACAGCTCGCGCGCGCAAACTCGCGATCGAAAAGGGGTAAAAGCACGTGCTCACTCACTGGCAGTTGTCTGGGGACTGAAGCGATCGCGCGCCACTTCGGGTTGTTTTCTTCGTTACTGACTGCTGCTGAGGGTTTCGTTCGAATCGAACCGGGTTGGTTGGTTGGTGGCCGCCGCGTGTCGATGTGTGACTTTTACTTTGGCGGCTAAATATTGATCGAAACAAAATGACTTCGCCGCACGATGGTAGGTGCGATCGTTGCCCGCTGCCGGTCGTTGCATTGGACTTCTTCTAGAAAAATGGTTCTGTTTGGACTGAACTAGACTGGTCCAACCTCCAAGTTTTGATCAGTTCCATATGGGATCCACATCGCTTCAATCTGATTTACTACCAGCCTGGTGATGTTTTGAGATTTTCTTAAGCTTTTGTCCGTACCACTCTAATTGCACCCAGAAGGTTCTGCAAAGTGTTCTAATCACATGTTAAGAATTGAGCCCAATGCCAAGCAGTATTCTCGAGATGAATTTAAAACTTAAGCAGGTGGGGATTTTTTAAATTATTGGACAGGTTTGGGCAGAATGTTCTCAGAATGCTATGAAATTTCACTCAAAGGTATAATTTATGCTCATATGAACGAAACAAAAATTCTAACAGTTTTTGGTGGTCAATTTTCCGGAAAAACTTTAGTTAAAGTTTTCCGATTTTCCCGGATATCACGTACATTGAAAACTCATAACTCATGAACAAAGCAGAACAAATGTTTATTAGTGAAATGACAAAGAAATTATCTCAAATTTCATAACATGACATAACATAACAAAACTCATAACAAAACATTTTATTTTAACTTTATTTTCCCAGACTTCAAATAGGATACACACTTAATCTAGCTCGGTAAAATCTCCAACAGCCGATTACTTCGGCATTTACTTTTGCTGATATCTCTGCAAGATATGTGTTTGTTAGTTGATATCTCAGCAAAATGTTATTTGTTAGCTTAGTCTCGGCATTTGTTTGACTGAATCTCAGCAAAATAAATTGCAGAATTACTCTTCTGTTGGGATCTCGGCGAAAATTTTTAAGTGTACACATGTTGGCCTCGGCATCCATTGACTTGTAATAGTAAAATTATGTGTATTTTCCATTGATTATGATTTTGCATCGCTCGTACATTACAATTAGTTAATCTGAAGGGCTCTTAATCTTTGTTTAATTTGTTATTCTAATTTACGTGTTTACGCTTTTCAACTAGTTTACAGGGGTTTGGAGTGTGTTTTGCTTGAATTTAAAAAAAGAATTTGATATCCTACCTAACTACTAATAACTGAACCTAATAAGCAAGATTGCGTATAATCTGGTGATTTGATCTCAGACAGGCGTCTCTGAACCATTCGAGGTTGAGCGTACTAAGCTCCTCTAGTGTCTGAAGACCAGTCAGGTGGTGGATCACAGAATTTCGAGTCCGCGGGGATCTTATTCTGGATCCTTTGGAGTTTGAGATGATGGCACTTAGCACAGCTCTCCAAGATTTGCGTTTCGTATTCAATGGCGGGGAGGATGATTTGCTTGACGGCAAGCTTGTTTTTAATGGAAAGTGTGGACTTTCTGTTGATAAGTGGGTAGAGCGAACTAATCAAGATGTTGCACTTGGTGGATTTTTTGTCCACATGGGAACGGAAGAGCAACTTGCTATCAAGGGTGAGACCAATCAATGGGAGTAATAGCAAGATGGACTTTCAAGTTATTAGGGGGGACAAACCGAGGTGAATTGGAGTGCGGAAAAAGTATGGTCTTTGTTTTAGCTACATAGATACAAATCTTCCAGCTTTTGAAATAGTCACACATAACATTCAGGCCTGTCATCCGTAAACATTGACAAAATACCCCCACTCGGAAGAGGAGGAACATCTGACGTGAAGATGTTGAAGAGGATAGGACCAAGGAGGCTATCCTGGGGAACCTCAGCAACAACGTTGACCGTATCAGAAGGTGAATTGTTCAAGAAGCCCTGGAATGATCTGCCCGGCAAGTAGTTTTTAATTATCTTAACAAGGAAGATCGGGAAGTTGTATCGATGCAGCTTGTACATTAAGCCATCATGCCAGACATTATCGAACGCATTCTCAACGTCCAACAATGCCATGGCAGATGTATTGGAAACGGACATGTTCCGCTTGATGATGTTAGTAACCCGTGCGTGTTGGTGGATGGTAGAGTGTCCTATCCTAAACCCGAATTGCTCGTTGAGAAAGATGTTGTTATCATTTGAAAACACCAGCAAACGGGAGTGGCAGCGACTCTAGGAATTGCCTCCGATACTGCAGGTTCGTGGGGACTCACCATGGCTTGGCCAAGGTTATGTGAATTCACAAAGTGTTGACCAAGAGTATTGGCCTCTTCAACTGGGGCTATGAGTAAGGATGGATCTGAATTCTGATTAAGAGGGGAAAGGGGAGGGATGGGCTTCGGCTCATTTTTTTTAAATCTTTGCCATTTTCCAGAACGGCTTAGCTCAATATGGGAGAGATCGAGTCTTGTTTGCAAAATCTTTATTTGTGAGATTCACCATCCTAGCTTGGATGATTTTGTTTAAACTGTTGCAATTGGTCTTCAGGTTAGGCTGCCCAGTACGCTAGTACTACGTACGAATGGTGTTGCGGAGTCTATGAGGTCTTTAGTGGGCCTGTCAAGGTTCAAAGTATTACTCACCTGTCTGGATACTGGCACATGTTGCTCTCTGGCCCGGGAAATCGCTTCATCGATGGAGCGAAGACACCGGTCGATGTCGTCGGTCGTTTCCGGCTGGACGTCATAGGCGATACTGGTGTCAACGCAGCGTTGGAACTGATCCCTGTCGGCGCAGTGGTAGTTGCGTCGGGAAACTTCGAATTGGTTCACGGAGGAACTCACTTTGGCCACCGGATAGTGGTCCGAGCTGAGTTCTTGGTAAACCACAGGTTGTGAGATGTTGTTGGCCAAGTTGCTTATGTAGGTGTCGATGGTGGCGTGAGCACCGGACCTATACAACCGGGTGGGAGTGTCCGGACTCAAGATGTTGTACTGCGCTTCCTGCAGTTCATTGTACAGGATGGTGCCATTTTGGTTGCGCCGACTGTTGCCCCAAGCTTGATGTTTGGCGTTCAGGTCGCCAGCTATGATGAAGTTTTCCCACCGTCGTGTTAGCTTGACAATATCTCGTCGGCAGGTCTGCTGCCGACTCATCCCTGATGTTGACTTGTTTGGGGCAGTAAGCCACAATGATGGTGATGAGACCGACAGGAGTAGAAACTTTCACCCCGGCTTCGATGATCTTCAGCTGGAAACTCGGCAGCAGCCGACAGTAGATGTTCCTTCTTAGAGCGATGGCCCCGGAGTTGATTCGGTCTAGCCTCACAAGCCGGAAATCGGTAAGGAAGACGTTAATCTTGGGCTTCAGGTGCGTTTCAGTGATGATGGCGATATCGATGTCTCGTTCGTTGAGAAATTCAACGAACTGGATGCTCTTACCCGTGAGCGAGCAAACGTTCCAATTGAAAATTTTGATGGATTCAAGGTCCATCCCTAATAAAAAAAAAGCCATACCCGAACGATAACCCAAATTATTGAACTATTCCACAAATGGTTTGAATGATACCTTGAACAGGTCGTTAAGCAAAATAATAATACAAGTTTTATCAGGGATACTTATTGATGAGGGATACGGCAGCATGAAGCTGTTCAGTTCGGGTCCTGCAGATGCGTTGGATCTGATGACTTATTTTTTTTCCCTTGATTTGTTTTCCGTCGATCTTGTTTTCCGTGCTGAGCACCAATGCTACCGACGCCAGGGAGGCAGCTCTCACACCTGGAACCAACCTATCGACCCATCAACTCATGATCCGGTGACCAACGGCTTTACTTCTTTTCCGAAGCAAGGCGTGATCAGAGATGTTATGCCTCAGAACATCCCGGCGGCGCCGACTGGGATTGAACCGTCATGACGATTAATCTTGAAGATATTGATTGGCTTGAGTCCATGTTGCTTCAATTCATCTGTCAGTGTGACTGTTTCCATGTCGGGAAGGCCACGCAACCCCACCTTGAGAGGCTTGGTCGCCTCAATATCTTGGGAGAAATGCTCCACGGCCTTGTAGTGGTT